CTATCATCTTATCACTCACCGCCGTATAAGTCTTCATAACTTCATTAATCAACACATCTTCGAATCATCGGGAAACCTCAATCGCCCATATGGCATGCTTCTCACACACATTTTGCCCAACATGGCATTCTTGATATAATCCCTTTACGAGTTCGATATCTTGATGCCGAGTGCCTTGGCTATCCCGGCCTTGTGAAGATCGGAGGAACATACTACATATAGCGTGAGTTTGAGCGCCTAGATGATGCCACACGCACCCATTTTGGATCCCGCTGCTCTACATCCTTCATACCATGCCGCGAGTCAAGCTCCGAAATCCTCAAGGGCACGAGGATGAACCGGAAAATGATCAACCATCCACTCGGCTCAAACGCTCAAGGACAACGGCTCGAGGTACCTCCTCCTCCACCCAAGACACATCAAAGAATCGTTCAACAAGCTCAAGGACTTCATAAAAAAGAAGGTGGTAAATCCCCTCAAGCGATTGCATGAACGGATGGATAGCTATGATGCTCGTCCAACAAAGTTGGAGGAAGCTGAAAACCGGTCCAAAGCCAAAAATGATCGTGCCTCTACCCGTGGAAAGCAAACCTTGAACAAAACCAAAAAATTATCACACATTTTAATTTTTTTAGATGTTGTGGATGAATGTTTATGTTGGAACTCAATTTTTTTGGGATGCATTGAAATCATGTTAATCATGCTTATTTTTTCTATGTTGTATGATGACAATGTTGCTTAATTCCTTGTTTCGTTATTCAATTCGGTTAAGCATGACATTTGACTTTCATACTTGAATGCCTCCCCCGTCTTTTTGATTGTTGCTAAAAGGAGGAGAAGTAGTTAGGCTTTCTAAAATACATATTCTCAGGGGGAGCTTTTGTAACACCCCAATCCGTATAACCCGGAATTAAACGTATTAGGGTGAAAATGGAGTTAAATAAAAATTTCGCTTAACATTTGAAAATGAGAATTTCATATTATGTTAAATTTACAAACTCTGGATCGCGACCCATTTAAAATTATTTTCGGAGTAACGCGGAAGTACAATAATAATCAAATCATGACACATTTAAAATCTTAATGATCAAACATTTGCCTGCAATGCCCACATCTCTTCTGACCCAATGCCCTCCGGGAGTTGTTCCGTCATTGTCTTCTTGTTACCTACGTGTAGTCAACGAAAAATACAAACTACACGCTCAGCAAAACCGCTGAGTGGTACCACGCTTGAATTGTAGAATAATTAACAGACATATACATTATATCATATGATCAAGTTGATGGTTCATGATGATAAATACTTGTTGATGATTTCTGGATAGCACATTTAATCAATACGATTATACTTGATGATGATTATATGATGGCACATATAATCAATATGGTTGTTCTTGTTGATGGTGACATGATGGCACATATGATCAATATGGTTGTACTTGATGATGATAACATGATACATGAAACTAACGTGCAAGGACGACCCTTGCGCTATGAGATTCGCCCAATTTGTAGGACGAACTCATGCCACCTTAGTCTCACGAATGAGACTAGAAACAAGATGAGGGTGGTACTCGAAAGCCTGAATACCATGTACGTACACTAAGCGCCAACGTGTGATGTCGGACTGCTAAGTCCCGCTCAATCACGCTATAAGAGGCGCACGAGGCATGATCTCTTACGCATGCATATGATGTGATATACTTCAATATGAATAATGAAATGAATTATATGATATGAACAATTTGCAAACAATATGAATATATAATCATGCAAGAGTTTATTTGGTTGAAACATGATTAAAATATCATTAATTAAGCTACGGGGCTCGGAACAATTGACCGTTTAACACGGTGGTCGACCGTGCTTCAACTCCTCTCGTCAGTTTGGAACACCGTGATGATCGACCATGCTTGACCGGCAGTCGACCATTGTTGGCTTCTTGAGTGTGGTTGCGTTCGGCTGAGCTGCGACGGTCTACCGTTTGGTTACGGCGGTCGACTGTTCTGTTGGTTCCCACAATGCAAAGTCACATTACCACAGTGCAAAGTCCTATTCCGGGAAAAAAACATGAAAGTCCTATTTTGGTACTTTTCTCTATGTTTTAGTCCTATTTAGGATGATTTCTAAACTTATAAACACTCTTTTATCTACTAGATAATTTAACCAAATAATATATACTCCAAGTTTGATTCGATCGGCACGAATTTGAACAATAGTAAATTGTATTATGGAAAATGCATCTAATTTTAGGAAAGGATTCTTTATTATCACACTTTTTCGGATTTATTTTGGGTAGATGCATTGTGATAGTTTTAAATACCGATCTAATGTGAGTGCACTACGATGACCGATATATGCATTGTGATTTATCCTTTAGATTGTATTTAAAATTTATTTTATTAATTTATGATTAGTGAATAATGATTTATTAGTGACTTTTAATGTGGTGAGAATGATTGAAAATGCATTCTATTCATAAGAAGTGAAATACAAATTTGAGAAAGAGTTTGCTTATGTGGGATTCGAACCCACATCCGTAATACATACCGCTCTACCATTTGAGCTAATAGGCAACAATTTAAATTTAATTTTTTAAATATGCATTTCAAAGACGTGATAATGCACAAAATTTTTTATATAATGCATTATATTGGGGTTTTCACTGTAGAGAATCAAATGAGAAATCCAATTCACACAGCGAATTGATACCCACATTCAATGCTAATACATAATGCATAATAGTTGTTGATACATGCAGTATATAAAAAACACAATGCATTATCAACAAACACAGTATGCATTATAAACTAACACAGAATATATTACAATTCCATTACTTAGACATATTACCCGAGAATATATAAAAAACAGAATTGAAGAATAAGCACATCAAACTTGAGTTGTATTCAACATGCATATGTTTATGCATATTTGTATGAAAAAAGGACAAAAAGTGTAGTTAGAAAAACCAAAAACAATCTTAGGTCAATCAGAATAAGCACACCTGATAGTGAAAAGAAAAAACAATGCATTACACATATGTGCAAGTGCTACAAATAAAAAAAATCCATAAAAGTAAGCAATTGAATTGAGGCAATAAATCAGTGAACATCCCAATTGCAGCCATCACGAAGGTGAATACAATGCATTACACATATGTGCAAGTGCTACAAATAAAAAAAATTCCATATAAATAAGCAATTGAATTGAGGCAATAAATCAATGAGAACATCCCAATTGCAGCCATCACGAAGGTGAATAAGCCCATATCAAACGCATGAAGCATTCACAGATCATAATGTACTACAAATTCTATACAATGCACTAAATATTATTTATAATGCACTAAAATACATATTGCAGGGATTTAAAAAGTAGGGTAATGAATAATCTTGGCTATTTACGTCAAGATAAAAAGCCACACAAGTATAAGGTGTGATGATGTGTTTCTTGCACCACAGTATTGTGATACATGCATACATTATCTTCAAGTCCTTGAAAATAAAAAAATGTACCAATACAAAAAACCAAGGCGATTGTAGTATTTGCATCTACGTGATGCACTACAATCTAAACTAGAAAGCAACACTGTGTAGAAATAAAAATATAAATATAAAATGATTTAAAAAGATGCCCAATTGCATTGAAGCATCCATCGGAGTTTTTTCAAATGAATACTTGCTGATTATTGAGAAGAATGTATATGTTGTTAATGACCTTAACCAATGGTTTGGTCATAAAAAGTCATAGATGCACGAAAAAACAAAAACAATAAAGGTGATTGTTAAGAATGTGATTGATGCAAAAATATATTAAATTGAAGTAAAAAGTGATCGATTGGTGCACTAGTTAGTGTAAACTAGACCATAGATGAGTTTGTGAAAGAATTTGAGAAACCTAATTCAGTTAAATGACAAAAATGATTAAGAACATAAAAATAAAACATACCTGATTGTGTTGTAGATTTCATCGCAGTTTTCTCGTTTGAATATTTCAAGATGATTGAGAATCATGCCTAGGTTTTTAAGGAAATTTATCAATGGTTTGGTCATTAAATCCTCCATGGTCGCAACTCACAAATGTGGAATTATGAGAAGCAAGAAGATAGATCGTGCACAGATTCCAAAAGGAAAGAGAAAGAAGAAGAGATCTTGGGAATATTTTACGGATATCATCTACGATTAAAAAGGATAGATACGAGTAACAAATGAAAACCCCAAAATGCCCATACAGTGAAACGAAAGTAGGTTGTGAAACTCTCCAGATCCAAGGGTTAGAATTCATTCTTATTTCTTTCATAAGATCTCATTCTCACCGGAACCTCTATATATATATATATATATATATATATATATATATATATATATATATATATATATATATATATATATATATATATATATATATATATATATATATATATATAT